CGGGCGCCTGTTTCATTTTTCGTTTTGTCGAGTCGGCCCAGCCTCGGGACCAGCCCGCTGGGTTTCGTTTCCAGCGAGCTCTCCAGCTCGGGGCACGTTGGGTCGGGGCGTCTCGGGTCTCGGCGGGGGAAGGGAACGGGCAGGCGCGCGGGTTCCGCCAAGGGCGGGTTATGGCCCGGTGAGAGTGACGGGTTTTTAAAGATCCCACCGCTCCCCCCACCCGTCCCACGCTCGGTGAATTGCGGTGGCCAAAGCCCCAGCTCCAGCGAGCGTGTTCGGGTGGCGGCGCGGGAGGTCCTTCCTGCCTGTGCTGTAAATGGCCCGGCCCCGACTGGGCGCCCCGGACCCCGCCTCTCCCGACCAAGCTCGGAGCGCAGCCTTCACTGGAGGCCTCACAGACGTGGAGTGTCTCGTTTTAACGGAACCACGTGGGTGGGAATGCAGGAGGCCGAGGGTTCAGAAAGCCGTGGCCCTTTCGGGCCGTGGAGAACCCTTATGGGTTGTCGGCTTATCCTCTGAGAAATGCAGGTCCCTCCCCAACCACAACAGGAACGGAATTGGGGAAGGTGGGGGAGGGGTCCAGCTCAAGCCAGAGCTCCTTCCCTGCGACCCCTTTGCCACCTGCCCTGGGCCCTTGACGACCTAACGTCTCCGGGTTCATCCAGACACCCACGTTCCGGGGAGTCCCGGGCCGCGTCTCACTGCCCCTCCACCTCCTTCCTCGTGGATCCCGGGAAGAAAAAGGATGGAGTGGGAACATGCCGGGGTGGGAGAGGCCCGCACTAGGGGCTAGACCCTCCGCCCGGACTGCTGTCCAGGGCCCCTCGGGCCGCGACGGCTCAGCTCACAGCGTGTATTGACCGTGCCTCACCCTGTAGGACGTCCAGGTGCGAGAGGCCAGCCGGGATAGGCCCTCGCAACGCCCAGTGGCTCCGCTGCCTTCAAACAGAATTTTTTTTTTTTTTTGGAGTCCGGGTCTCACTATCACCCTGGCTAGGGTGCATGATCACGACGATCACGGCTAACGGCGGCAGCTTCAGCCTCCTGGTCTCAGGCGATCCTTCCGCCTCGGTCTCCCGAGTAGCTGGTACTACAGACGCACGCCACCACGCACGCCTAATTTTTTGGATTTTTTTCTTTCTTGTTTTTGGGTGGAGACAAGGTCTCGCTATGTTTCCCAGGCTGGTCTCGAACTTCTGGACTGAAGCAGGCCTCCTGCCTCGGCCTCCCAAAGTGCTGGGTTTACAGGCGTGAGCCACTGCGCCCCAGTTTACCCACCTGCTCCCCGAGGGCCTTTCGACCCCCTCTTCGCCTCTAGTG